AATATATTTAATATGATTTTTTCCAAGTTGTCTTAAATTGGTAATAAAAAAATACATCAATAAATATTGAAAAAAAATATGGGATATAATATTTAATAAGTTTTTCTTGAATTATGTTATGAATCTTATTTTTAAAAATATTGATATTATAATGAAGACTTTAATTTTTTTTTCATATAAAAAAACGTTGTTTTTGAGTCCTTGTAAAAAATAAGTAATCAAGGAATGTGATGACCTTAAAATGTAAAAGTTCTATGTTAAAACCAGAGCTTGCAAAATCCATTTTTTTTGGTCCTAGGCCCGTTGTCTCTAATTAATATATATAAGTAGGATTAGAAATATATCTCTAACACGTTTATAATTTCTTTTGTTAATGGACTTAAGTTTGTATAATTGTTTTCAGGATTTCTTCACCTCTTTAATATATTTTATTTATCAAATGATGTTAGGGAGATATAATAATTATTATTTGCCGGTCCAATTGTTAACGATTGGGAGGGGGTATAGGGGCTTGAGCCCTCTATTTTTTAATACTTTAAAGAATACCCACAAAAAGATAATTTTTAAAATATTTTAGAATTTCAAGAAAATATTTTTTGAGCCCCTGAGATTATAAAAATGGAGGTAGGGGCTTGGTTGCAGGACTCTGGTCCAAATATATCAATTTTCAGTGATAAATTAGTTAATCTAATGGATAATCGGGCGTAATTCACATTTCTTAGGCAAGCTATGCTATTTGCTAAGAAAATTACATTTTTACTCTATTATATTATCTCTACCTCCCTATGAGCCCGAATTTAAAAAATTTTTGTAATCGAGCCAGGCCCAAGCACAAATTTTTTGTTCTAGCCCAACGAGCAGTACTAAAAAAAATTTGGAATTTAAGTTATAATATTATAATATTTAAGGAAAAATTATTTATGTATATTTATTCACTTGTCACCTTAAATAAAGGTATATTTAACCCAATTAAGGGAATGAATAAGTGAAATGTGTTAGATGAAAAATGACATGTACTTCTGATTGACATTTCGATGAAACGAAATGATTAATGAGAATATTTCTATTTAATTTTCGCACCTCGGGTCAGGATACCTCTTACAGCCCGTGCAGGGTTCTATCTATAACTCGCTATTTTTTTATTTAACAGCATTAGTAAAACGTGTTTTAGCGCTTGGAACCCATAAGTCATAATCTAAGTGTTAAGTTTCGGTTTCCTGAGAAAGGAAATAATCAGATTTTAATGTATTAGTGATCTTCTTTTTAAATAGAATAAAAATAAAAATAATTATTTATTATTATTATAAAATATCTTGATTAGTATTGTTAAAAAACCGATTTGGGTCGATTCTTAAAAATGGCTAGATTAAGATTTTAGCCAGAATAATATTACAAATAGAGGTCTAAGTCGTTCTTTCATCTATGAGCAAAATCTCCAGGCTTACATAATATTTTGGCTAAAATCTGAAAGCTAGATGATCCTTGTACATTAGAAAAGTTTTCTGAGTCAGCATTATTTAAGGATTCTCTATATCTTTGACCAACTTAAATTACGATACCCTAAATAAATAATTAAAATATGAAGTATTTCCATAGATATACACAGATTTTAAACTTATATAATAAATGAAGAGAAAAGAGATTGAGATAAATAATTCAACCTTTCTAAAGTAATAATTATTGCACCAATATATTTTGGGGTAAATTCAAAAATATATCACTTACTAGAAAGTAGGGAAATATTTAATCAATTTTTGAATAATATTGGCTTCTAAACCAAAATATTCTTGCTATTGAAATGATTTATCAGCTTTATAAGCACTGAAGGGTGTTGATTTTAAAAATAAATGCAATATCTGATTTTATATTAGATTGTAATGATATTTGTATTAAAAACTTATAAAATATTGGTATAATAGCTAGCCCTAAGTAATTGAGCGCTAAGCAAGATTACAGTTAATCTGAGCGCACACTTGAGCAAAACGTTTCCTTGATTGAGCATGATTCTGACTAAAAAATTTTAATATTTTTTAGTTAGTTGGTCTAAAATGGAGAGCTAACGATGTCGCTGTTTGGTTTGAGACTTTGATTATAAGATTAAATATTATTATTGAATTTTTTAATGTATTACCAATTTATAATGACTATTGATTGCCCCAATTTTTCTAATTCTCATGGGATAAAATTTATTAATCTTGTTAATATAAAAAATTTTGTAAAATTATTATTTCATCAAAGTTTGAAATTATAAAATAAAACTAATCATTGACATAATAAAATAATATTATTTCTTTGAACATTTAAACCTTTTGAGATATTTTTTAAAACAAATTAATTTATCATGTGATACTGATATGATTTTACATAAAAACAAAGCCTGTCATATATATTTAATTAAAAAAATATATTATTTTATTTTTATCATATTTACTAGTGTTGTTAAAAGTTACTTTTGAAACGTAACTAATTGCAATTAATAGTCATATTCCTAAAAAAGGCAACTAGTTAAAGTCAACAAAAGTAACTAGTTACATTATAAGTTACTTTATTAATCAATCACCTTTTTTAAAATTATAGGAAATTTTACGAATTGCAAATTTTAATCAAAGGCATTTAAAAGAAAATACACAATTTATTTATATAAAAAATAATTACACTGTAAAAAAATATAGGAGAATAAAATATATTTACACCAAAATAAAATGATCATATATTTGCACTGATTTTTTATAAAAATTCTTGCCGAATAAATTTTTATTTGCCTTTAGCAATAAATTATTTTCAAAATATTTGTCCAAAACAAACGTTAAGGGCAACATTATATTTAATAAAAGTAATTTTAAATTTGGCAAGTCATATAAAGACAATGTGTTATATTATTCGATTGTATAAAATTTTCTATACGTTTATTATCAATAAAATTTAGTCGTTTTAAGTTAATAAAATGAATATGATCGATGTTCATTTCGGGCGTGATTCAATTGAAACAAAACGAAAAAACATATTTTTTTAATGAAAGCGTAAAAAATATTTAAAATAAGGTAACGATAAACAAGATATTTTGACATTTTAAACTCTCAGTTCAGTTAGTGATGCTGGTCTGTCATGGGAAATATACAGAGTTAATAGCAAGATCGACACTGTGTGAATGAAAGAATGTTCATAAAACTTTATTTTCTATTAATGCATGCTTTGCTTACATATATTATTGTTTAAAAATTTTATTGTAAATATGAAAAATTTCATTAACCCATTTTTGGGCAAATTAATTTATTTTTAAATTTTGAACCTTTTTGCTAATTAATAGTGATTAGGTGTAAATAATAGAAGTGAATCTTAATTTAAATCTTTTAATTTTCTACAAATGTTGTTCCACTATGGGGACAACGTGAATTTAACATGTTAAAAGGCAGAAAGTAATAAATAGAATATAAAAATATATAATATAGTTTTTATGAATTCAATTCATATTTAATATAAAATATTTTTTTAGCAAGTTACCTAGTTACCTATTTTAAAATGGCCGATTTTTTTTTTTTTATATATAAATCATGTTTTTATAACAAAATTATTGATTTGAAACTTCGAAGTCGATTTTCTTATTTTTAATATAGATGTAAATAAAGCACTTCTTCAAGCTACGATACTATAAATTGTATAATTGTTTTAAAAAATATTTATAAATCTATGTTAAAAATATTCATTATTATTATTGTTATAATTATAATTTGTTGGTTGGTAAGTGGATTACATAAAAATAATTTAAGAAAAATTGGTCTAAAGCTTAAAGTATTTAGAGATATTGATTTTAGAAATGGATGGATGATAATAGGATTATAAAATTTGTATAAAGTTTCCTTAGAGTTTTTTTTATTATTAGCATAAATTTAACCCCCTCCCGCTATGAAAACTAAAAGAAAAATTAACATAAAAAGTATTTTTATTGTTAAAAGTTATATCATCAGAGATGGTGTTGATTACAAAATAAATTTGATAAATATAATTTTTTTTGTTACTAAATAAAATTCATGTCTATCTGCTCTAATAATATTACTCGTATATAGTAGTCAGTGTATTAGTAATGTAAATAGATAATACTTAATAGTTAATACAACAAAATGAAATATTTATTATTATTAAAATAAAAATCGAGACACTTAATTTAGGCTTGATTTTAAATTATGGAGTATAATAAGATTTTAAAAATAATTTTAAGATTTTCTTCGCCGACAATTAAACCGAAGCTTACAATGAAGTTTAATTCAAAAACTTTATTAATCAAATGAAAATTCTTATGAACAAAGTCATAATTTTTTAATTATTTATTAATATCCCGTCCTAAGTATATGAAATACATTATGAAGTTTCTCGCCGAATTTTGAAATGAATATTATAAAATTAGTAACTCGTAAAATAATATTAATTCACAAATTCGGTAAGAAAATATATTAGCTAATTTCAGTGAGTTAAGACGTGGCATAAGATCTAAAGAGAAAGCAAAATAAAAGTTAGATTCATTATTACAAATTTATCAACTAATTGAATATGAATATAAAGTCTTAAGATTTTGGCTTTCTCTTTAACTTGCAAAGGTATCATCTTATCCGAATTCATTCATTTATATAATTATTGAGAAAGAGGATATATAGGTTTAGGTACTATTTAAGAGATAAAGTTTTTCTTAATCGAAGTAAGTCATATTATTATTTTTTTAATTTTAACACTATTTAGGAAAGTATTTCTTATTACTATATTAATTAAAATACACATGTATCTTTAAAAGGAAATGAGTCTGTTCCAGTTATATATTAAATAAATTCAGAAATTGAGGAATAATATATTTTAAAAAAACAGTTTCTTACTCTAATACTGATAAAATATCAAAGTGATACATGATAGATGTGCTAATTGTCATATTAATGTAAATATCTTCAGATAATTCTGCATAAATGGAAATAGAAAGAAAAAAAGAAATAATCTTATATAAAAATTGCTGGAACTTGTATAATCCCTAACTCCCAGCGGTTTTTCCTTTGCAAAGGATTTTTGATTATGACTAGTAAAATCTTTGTCCTTTTTGGATAATTGTCTATAAGATAATTGTTGAGATGTTAATAAAGAATTATTATTGCTACCAATAGCTGTTATTTTCACATCGATTGTGATATTTCGAGTTTCATTTGACTGAGAGTTTGAATCAATATTATTTGAATTAGTGTGGATAAGATGAGCTTTTTTGTAATATTTAACGAGGGTCAAGTAATTATTGGTACTGGGATCGAAGTAAAATAATTTATCTAGTTCAAATATTATGCTGAGGTAATATAACAACCTGAAAAATTTTAGGAACATTATGTAGCACATTTATATAAAGGATTTTTATTCAAACTACATAACTATTTTGATTAAAACACTCCGAATAATTTAACTCCAAAAACATTCAAATTACACAAAATATGGAAATATAATAAATTTAAAAAATTAATTCGTTAGTTTTTATAAACTTTGTTTTTTCTTAAAAATTTAAATATTATTATAGTAATAAGTTTTAAAATAAACGTGGAAGACTATAAAAAAATTAACTTTTTTGGTTACTCAATTCAGTTACGATATTTATTATATATAAAATAAAATAAAGATGTATAAAATAAAAAAATATATTAATCTTCCTTTTAAAATCAATAAAGTAGTATTATAGTTGTATTTTAGTTTATTGATTTATTCATAAAAACGGTTAGAAGCGCTCACTAGGGCAAAAAAAACTGTAATAAAAAACCTGTGGCAAACAATGAACAAACTTTATGATAAATTTCTGAGTCAACTAACATTTCACCTTAAGAAACCATACCCGCTAACATCATTGTTATGAATGTAAAATAACAACAGGGGAGGATAATCAATTTATTATCGTGGTCTTTTATCATCGTGTGAAATAAATTGATAAACTAATATATTAATTATAATTTATTATTTTGGTTTGTTATTTCTAAAAAAATTTGCGACTTTTTTGAATAAATATTACATTGATATTTATTAAAGTCGTAGTTCTAAAATAAATAAATTATTAATATTTGGTAGTAATAGTGTAATGAAACTTAATAAAAAAAGAAGAGATAAAAAGATTTAACCAACCTCGGAGCTTCTCATCAAAAGCTTTGGCTTACATTACTAACACAAAACTGTAGTTTCACACTATTGTATTGGTTTAAACAATTTTTGTCTATGTTGAATTGAAATTGATTTAAACAATATATTGTATTTAGATGGGTTTTAATTATTATTCATATAACTTAGAGAAGAATAAATATTATTATTTTTCATTATTATAAAAACTCCTGATGGTTCATAAAATAAACAATCATTTTCAAAAATGGTGTTAGTTGCCTTTATTTATTAGAAAAGTTTTCAGGGTCAGCATTATTTAAGTTTGATTCTCTATATCTTTCTTGACTTTAATTACTATTATATATTAAATAATTAGTATGAATCTATTTTCATAGATACAAAAATATCGCTAGATGCTAACCATCGATTATAAATGTAGATAAGAGATTGATATATTACCCAATCTTTCTAACTAAAGTAAATGCATCAATGTATTTTGGGGTAAATTAAAAACAAAAATATATCACTTGGTAAATTAGACAACGAAATATTTTTAGTGTTATCCATGAAATAAAGACAAAAATTTATTAATTGTAATTTCTTAACAAATATATCATTATAATTTATTCGCTATTTTTTAACATTAATTAATATATAATGTTATTAAATGGCTTGATTTGAGCCAATTTTTAAAAATGGCTAACTCAATATTAGCCAGAAAAATATTGCACAAGCCTCAAATTTTGCTAAAAGATGTCTAAAATTTAAAATCTTAAGGCTTGCATAATGTTTTTCTGGCTAAAATATTGAGATAGCCGTTTTTAAAAATCAGCTCAAATCAAGCCGTTTAACAGCACTATAAAATGATGTATTATATAAGATAATTTTTAACTTCCCTAGCTAAGTATTTCATGATTTCCCCTTAAATAAAAGACAAACATACCATAAGTTAAATTAATTTTTATTTACCTTTAATATGTGATATTTTGGCTGGTGTAAATGTAAAACATAATAGGATCAACATAGAGATAAAATTCCAAATGTAATAAGGCATTTTTTTAAATACGCAAAAATCTATACAGATGTAAACCATTGGTTTTTATAACAGAATCGGTAACAGGATCTAATGATTGGTTAAAAAGTAGATTTTAGGCAAAATAAAATACGAAATCAATATCTCGACCAAATAAAATATCGTTATTTAAAAAAAAATTATGATTTTTTGGATAAAAAAATATTTTAAATAACATAAGGCACAATTTCATAAATTTAAAAATATTGAAATGTGCAAAATTTTTTTTATTCTAAACTATTTGATTTATTAACCACAGATTATAGCATTTAACAATTACATTATCTAAATGTTTAAAATATTTTTTTTGGAAAAGTGATACCCTTTTTAAAAAGCAAGATAGCATTAAATATTTTTTAACAAAATCTTTGGTATATAGATATTTTGTTTAGATGGCACTTCTTCATAGATTGACATTTTTGAACTTTTATTTCTTAATAATTAAAATAGGGGAATATTTAGAAATTACGTATCAAATATATTTCCAAGTTAAACATGATTTCGTTCCATTCCCACCCACTTTAAATACCGAGTTCATAAAACCTTTGGATAGTATGGCAACTTTATTCATTGCCTCCACTTGTGACAAAATTTGGAGTTGGAATTTAGCAGTTCAGTGTCTGCGTGAGACCTGCCTTTTGGAAGTAATTTGCCTATGCAACTTTGAAAAATGGTCCATAATTTAGATATAATTATAATCAAACATGTTGATAATGATATTTATGCACGTCTTACTGTGTGGATTCACGGATTATCTAAAAAATTCATATTGTGTTTATTACCCATAAGATACGAGTCACGAATAAAAGAGCAGTTGTTTTTCTACTGAATGATGTTTCCTATTCAAAAATCTTTCATAAAGGTAAAGAACGTAGAGATTCCGCTGAGTAAACTATAGGAATTGCTTTTTAAATTGAATCTTTACTTGTCAATGAATGCTTCTTCATTTTATAAATTTATTTATAAAAAATTATTTATTAAGTTAAAAATATTAACTTTTATCGGATTACTAATTATTCCTTTACGTACATTGAAAAATTTATAAAAGATTATCCATACACAACATTTTGATTTTCCTTAGTGTATTATCAGATTTTATTTTGTCTCTTTGAAGCAATTCTAATAGAATATCAAGTAACCTGAGGTTGCTTAATAATTATCATTTACTTATTTCAAAAATTATAAAAAAAATTCTGTTTTGCCTAAATATAACTCATTATAAGATTGATAATATTTAAAAATATATATATTTAAAAAAAGATGAAACCCTATCTAAAATTCCCCGCCCCCCCCCCTCCTTCCTCCCAAAAAAGAATGAAATATATATCTAAAAAATATCAGAAGGTATAGGAAACATTGCTCCACATGTTTAAAATAAAGTTATTTATTTTTTTGGTTAATTTGTATATTTTTTACAGAGTTTTTCCAAGATTTCTGGGAATTTAGCTGGTATTAATCCTTACAAGAGCATAAAGGTGGAAATTTTAAAAATAGTAAATTTACTAGAAATATTATTTATTCGAATATTTCTGCTATTAGAATAATATTCTTGAAATAAAATATAATATTTCGAATATAACAACTATTGAATAACAACAAAATTAATATATTAATTTAAAATATTATATTAATCTAATTATTTTGTTAGGAGCAAAAGGAAATAGGGGTTGTGTCGACATTAATAATCCAATTATAGACAACTGCTGTATCTATAAATAAAATAAATGGTCGGTATGACTCAAAATTTATATTAATAAGCACAAAAATAAGTATTGCAAAAAGTATTAATTAATTTTTTTTAAAATCGTTTTACGTGATACGTGATTTACTTTATTAATTTTTCACAATTGTGAATATATATAAAAATTTTAAGATCTTTCTTCTTTCTCTCCTTTTTCTGATAAAGAAATGAATAAGTTAATAGATATAATTTATTTTTCAAAGTAAACGAATATACATTCTGTGGTCAGGGTAGTAACTACGAAGGACATTTAAGGCCATCCCCAAATAATTTTCTAGCTCCTAACACTTTAGCGTTATCCATTATCCTTCTTGGCACTTGTTTTTATTGATTCCGCTAAATTTTAAGAGAAGCTCATCCGGTCCACAATCATTATCTAATATTCTTTAAATCTTAACAATTACTTTGACTTACTCACATTTTGGTCCGAATTCCTTCTTTAATTCATTATTTCAAACTTCCCAAAGAAAAATCTTCAAAAATTCCATCTTATATTAAATCAGCTGTTAAAAAATTTCTATTTTCTCCTAATGATGGTGGGCGACACCTTACTTTCGCCCAAACTTAAATATCCCTCGAGATCCATCTCTGTGCACATTATATACACATTTATTTTTATCTAATTTTTATGAAATATAATGGGAAATTTATTCCTTCAGTAAAGATTCATCAGCAGGCATCAACGAATTCCATTCAATTTATCTATAACCTCATAAAACCAAACATTCAAGCCAACTCAAGACTGCTATCAATTCTATCATCTATCCTTGCAAAATATAACATGGCAAAATCCCTTCGATGTTGTTCTCATAACCTGTTATACGCTTCATTGCACTCAAAAAAAGAATAGCGTTTTATAAAAAAAATTATTGGCAATCGTATCAAATATTTTTAAGCGCCAATTTAAAATCCAATCATTTGGGTATATGAGTAAAATAGAGATGAGAAGCTGCCTAACAATCTCCAGTATGCTTTCAACTCTATTAGCCATGACCTTTTTATTTTGGAATTCTTAACACTTTCCTGAATATGTAAGCTTCTTCTTCACAATTCCTCGCAAGCTCTATTTTTTGAATTTAATCAAGATCTTATCCATTTTAAGGAAGGAACCCATCAAGGAGATCCTTGGTCCTGCTCTTTTCTGTCTCGGTAAACAGAAAATGTAAACAAAATCTATAATCTTCTTAAATTAGATCTTAATATCTGACACCGAAAAGACGATTTAACACGTATAATTATAAATTGCATTTTTCAAATCTAAAATTTCAATATATTAGCTATATATCAAAAACATCTGGATTTCCATTTTTAAAATTTATTTATCTCACTTAATATTTTATTTATAATAGATGCTTAAAGGTAAATCAAACTGTCGAATTTTTATCATTAAAAAAAATGTCACCAACAAAAAAGGTTACTTAGCAATATGGAAGTATATATTCCCAAATCCTATCATAATAGCAACCTGAAAGAATAAAATTTCTCACGATTTATTGTATTAATGTTTAGAATTTAACATATCCAGGATTGCATTGTCTGAAAAAGGTGATATACTTTTTTATTATATATTCTAGAAGACTTGATATATTAAGGAAAAGCTTGATATTTTCTTATTATCCATTTAAGTTAGCTTTTCGGAAATTGATACAATAATTATTAAAGGCAGAAAAAGATTTTGATGTAATGCAATCCACAAATATTTTAGATCTATGCTTCTGTGATATTAATTTAAAATATTCTGAAATTAGTCAAGGATTAGAATTCATAAATCGAATTGCAGTATAACTTGATTTAAATATTGGAAAACTTATGGCTAATTTGATGCAATTAGTTAAAAATAAGATTTTTGGATAAAAATGGTGAAAAAAAATGCAAATATAGAATTGGCTAACGGTGATCTTGCTAGTACTTAAGTCCAATTGCTAGGTCTGCTAGAAGCGCAGCATTGGAAAGAATATGCTCAAATTTTAGAAAGGTTCATTTTAAGATGGATATGCAATATAATTATATAATAGAATTTGATATTTATTCAACTTAAATGTTAATTCTACTTTACAAGGTGAAAATGATACTATTTCAATTATACATATTAATATTGAATGAATTTATATTGTTTCATCAATTTTTGATTTAATTTAAAAAATAAAATGAAGATATTGTCTTTCTATATTAATTTTTTTAATTATTCCCTTATATTTTTAAAATTTTCCCTGGAAATAGATTTTTATTAGGCTAAGCGTTTGCAGATAATTTTAAAATGAGTTTCCTATATAATTTTAATAAAATGACTTGATCCACGTTTGTCCTTTTGCTGAAATATGAATAAAAGTTTTGACATGATATATTATTCCTACCGTCAGCCTCAACGTGGCGGGGGATTGGCAACGTCTTTGGCGTTTAATGAAGGTTAAAAAGGTTCCCTGTGGTCTGGGTCTAGAATATGATCACGGTCTTCTCAACGGGAAAAACCAACGAAAGGGGTTAATGTCAAGAAGGGCATCCAATTGTAAAACCTTGCTCCAAAATTCCTAATGATAACAACAAATCATCGGCGTGGTAAAGCCCAAATTATCCCGTGCGCCTCATCCGCCTACGACAAAAAGATGGATGGGAAATCTGATTAAACCACGAAAAATAACATAGTAAGTCACTGAAACTCGGGGAAATTTTTAGATTATTTCTTTTATATTTATTATTTTAAATATTTATTTATTAAAAAATAATAAATATGCGATAGTGTCGTGTGACTATTGGTGGAATTTTGCTGTAATAATTCATATTTTCATTATTCAAAAATTTTAAAAATAAGAATTGTATAACTTTTGTGAAAATTTTTCACAATTCTTTAATTTTATATTAAAAATGGGTTATATATTTTTTTCGTTATATTCGCGTAATTTTCGATATTTAAAAATCTTAAAAAGACGTGGGTTATATTAGATGTTACTAAGTATTAAATCAAATACTAGATAATTCAATCTATTTGAATAAACATAATATATGAACAATGAAACTATAGATAGATATAATTTTAAGGGAAAACAAAAATAGTTTTTTTTATATCATTTAAGAATTTAATTAATTTACTTAAATTTGACATGTTTAATATTACGAAAATAAGAATATTCACATATATATAAATGATAAGAAGATTTTCTCCCTGTTCTAGTGATGCTCGCCTTAAGATCCCTCCATAAACGCTCAATATGTCGAGTATGGGTGAATATATCATTTGGGTCTATAAAGTATCTATTGTGATTTACCGAGTAATAATCATATCCATTTTCATTAAGAATGCTATAACTTAAAAAAATATTAAAATAATCTCGGTAAAATTTATGTAATCCATAAAAAGGGGAAAAAAAATATTTGTTAAATTTAAAAAAACATTACGTTAAATTAATATTTATTATTTAAAAATCTTCAAATGGCCACAATAAAATACACCAATGGCCACACGATAGCATATTTATTATTTTTTAATAAAAAATATTTAAAAAAAATATATATAAAATTTCCCGGAGTTTCAGTGACTTGCCAATAAAACATATGACGGCTATAAACGACCTGATAATAAGTGGAGAAACCGTTTAAGGATGAATAATAGTTTAGATATAGAATTTTGATAATATGACGGGATGAGCGGGAGAAGTGGTCGATGCACTGCGTAGAAGGCATATAGACGTGTGTTGCATACAAGGGGCCTGATGGAAAGGTAATGGCGCAAAAATGATTGGCAGGACAAATGAAAAGTATAAATTTTTCTGGCAAGGAAATAATGATGGTAAGGCTTAGTTGGCGTATTTGTTGCAGAGAAATGAGTGGACAAAGTAATCGAAGTTAGAAAAATAGATAACCAGATAATGATTATCAAGATGATTTTTGGTAGAAAGTTATGCAATATTATTTCAGCATATGTTCCACAGGTTGGATGAAGTGAAAGAAAGATATATTTTGGGACAGTCTATTGAAGGCGGCAGCGGACTCGTAAATGAAAAGATTATCCTGCCTGGTGATCTGAATATGCATATGGGAGCGAGTAGTGAGGGTTATGAGAGAGCACATGGAGGATTTAGTGGCATGAGAAATCCGGAAGGAAATTTTGGTGATGCTATGGATATGATTGTACGTAATACAATATTTAAGAAAGAATCAGAGAAGCTGGTGACTTGCAAGTAGGATAGTACTAAAAGTGAGGTGGATTATTTGATAGTAAGGAGACGTGATATGAGCATAGCAAAAAATGTGATGATACCGGGGGAGGAATGTTTTGATCAGCACCGATAAGTTATAGGAGATCTCATTTTAAAGGCGCCAGGACCACTAAAAGAAAGTTTGTGTCAAGGCTGAAAGTTTGGAGATTGAAGGAGTGCTAGATGTCGATTCAATATGACATTGGCGATAAGAGAGGCGGAGATGGCACAAGCATCTGGGCTTGACAAGTGGGAAGCCATAAAGAAAGTCTGGGTGAGGACAACAGAGAAGATACGTGGATAGAAAAAATGGCCGCCTAGACATGTTATACGGGTGGGTCATTCTCTAGTGCAAAGGCCCCAAAAATATTAATAAATTTTGCCGAAAAAACTCAATGAAGATGTTGTTTTGCAAAGGCGAAATCTTTCAAAAAGATAACGTGACATGCCATACATCACTATCAATTTTTAAAAAAAATCCGCATATTAGTTTTAAAATGGCCTTTGGGAAGTTCGAATCTTGATATTATTGAGAATATATGTAGCTAATGAAAAAACGACATCCTAACAATAAGCATGAAATAAATGGGTGATATATGAAAATAATTACAATTGGTAGGGATTGTAACTATTAAAGGTTCGCAAATGGCAAAATTCCCAGGTCCGAGCCATTGGGAATTAAGTTTTTGCCCCTCCCAGCTAATTTTTTACAAAGTTTGCCTGCCCCTTAAATACAAGGCGTAAATAGAAATAAATCTTAAATACCAAGATAAACAATTATTTATAATATTGGGGAATTGTTAAACTAAAAAACTATACTTTATGGATTATCATTTCTACGAAATATCAGAATGCATGAAATATATATATATATAAATTTTTGCCAGGCACAAACAAGAAACCTTATACATGGCCCGACCTATGGGACGGGCTTCGCAGATATTTAGTTGACTATCCCACAAGGAATTAAAGCAAATACTCGATAATTTGTATTCTGGAATAAATTCTTAAGCTACTTTGTAGTTAGAACCCCAACCGTTACATCTGGGGTCAATTCTTAAAACAGGAACTTTACAAATTTTCAGGAACCCAAACTCCCTTTAAAATTATAAAGAGGAATCGGTTCTAATAAAATCACAACTAATTTTTAAGTATACTGTTGAATGATAGGGTGAATGTTTAAATTTTTTTTCACTTATTAATAGTTAAAAACCGAAACATCTCTTTTAGATTTTCTAGAACTGGAACCAAATTTTAAGAAAACTGACAAATCGGCAAGAAAAATACATGAATTAAATTTTTTTAATCATTAAAATTTTTTTTTTCAGACTGAATAGTTTTTTGTAAAATTATTATGGGTTGCTTTTCTATATAAAAATATTTATATTATTATTCATAATTGTACGTCAATAAAATTTTACTAAAATCGTGCTTATTTTATTTTAGATTTGGCTACCTCATTATGCTATATTGTTGGTTGTTTTTTTTTAAAAAGGGAAAAGAAAATATTTTTAAACGATTTGACATTTTGCATGTAAATGCGTGAAATTTTTTTTGCGAATATTCCATCTTTTTTTGTTTTTAAAATAAATATTATATGTGTTGTGAAATGAATCTATATATAAATTAACAAAAAAAACTACGATTTTATTATTTTTTTAAATACATACGTGAAGAAGGACGATAAAAATATTTGTTGTAAACTTCAATTTTTTACGAAAACATGTATAAACATATAAGTTAAGTTTTTTTTAAAATGACATCAAAAAAATATATATTTGGGGGAGAAGATGGGAGGGAATCAAAAAAGGTTACAAACCCGCTTCCCTCAAAAAAAAGTAAAATTATGTTACCAAAATAAACGTTAATTTAAATATAAAATATCTCAGTTACGTTTTATTTTTTAGTTAATTTTTTTTTATTTTTTAAAATTGAGAAAGTCTATATCGATTTAATTGAGAAAATATGTCTATTTTTTCATTCGAATATAATTGAATGTCAGGGGCACCCGGGTCCAGGTGAATTTAGGGACTTTAAACCGGAGAAACTTGAAGAGAACAAAAAATCACTATTGCTATTATTATTATTCGCAGGACCGTTACTGCCACCTATATTAGAAGAAGAGGAGGTGTGCGCTTGCAAGCTTTTGAGGCTATTGCTGAAGGCCTGGAAATTCATATTATTGTAAGAGATAGGGGATGAAGAGTTAATATTGCACGAATTGGAAATAGGAGAGTACAGAAGTGACTGCGAATTGATGACTCCACGATCTTCGAACGAAGTGTTAGGTAGCAATAGCAAGGGGCTTTGGGTAGTTATACGAGACGTTGAGACGGACGAAGACCTGAGCTCTGTCAGGCGTGATTTCAATTCGGATATTTCACGTTCGCGTTTTGATAACAAAGCTTAAAAAATTATTTGTGAAATTAAAATATAATAAATAAATAGGAATAACACAATGTAATTAAATTACGGGTTCTGGAGTAAACTAATGAAGAAATATATGACATGTAAAATTATAAATTAGTTTAGATTTTAGAGTGGAGGAGTTGATAAGGGGTCCAGCAAAGCGATTGTAATGGGCATTGACATTTAATAGAATAACCGAGGGAATATACAAGCATGAGAAGAAAAAAAATTATTTTATATATTTATTTATCATAGTACTTTAAACAAAAAAATCAAAATCTAGAATGAGTTTGCTTTTAACATTTATATTCCAGACTTAGAAATCTTATAATTTATAATGTTTCTCGCTCGTGTCCGATTTTTAACATTGCAAGGATATGGCCTCTTGAGAAAATGTTATAAACGAGTTAATGTAAAAGCTATAATTTTACTCATAGTGTTTAATACATTTTTAGAACTTTAAAATTTTGATTTGAAGGGAAAAATTTAAAGCGAAGACCATAAGAAAAAAAATTCGGAATAAGTATCAAACAAAAATATTTGCATTTGCTGCAATGTGATAGAATTGTCGTAAATTTGATGGAGTTTCCGAAAGATAAAGATAACAAAGTTCATGATCATTTTTTTTATAATTTTTAATTTAGAATTCATTTTATTAGTTGGATTTGTTGTACTAACACGTGTCTCTTTAATTAAATTTTATCAATTTCTTTCTAATTATTATATAGTAAATAAATTCTTCTTTCAATTTACGTTTTAATCCTCTTTAAGCCAAATTTACAGTAGTTATATATTTTCTGGCTCATAAGTTTAATATATATTTGTTCACTGAATGAGGTGATGTGATGTAAGATAATTAATAATTATTTCAGGCGACAAGTCAATATCTTATTGATGATAAGGTTTAACTCAGCCTCGTAAGACTCTTATGCTAACCTAACTCATATTTATGTCATCCTAAATTTTATATTTATCTTTTTAAATCAATAAGTATTTAATATAACCAGGGGTCCGAACTGAATATTGGTTCGGATAAAAATAACGTTCGGTTCGTAAAATATCGATTCGGCTCGATCCCCTAAAAACTAATTTGAAAACTTTTATATATAAAAATATTACATTTTGATTTGTCAATTATAATACCGTATGTAAAATAGCAATATAGAAAAGTTTATAAAAATTAGACTGACATTTATCAATAATAATCTTTAAAACAACTCGGATATAAATTAGAATTTTAGCAATATACTGGTAATAACTTTTATTTTATCTTATAGGCAGGGTTGCCATGTCTCTCACCATCAGCGGGAGACTCCCGCAATTTTTTAGTTTACACGCAGACATCTCACTCCCGCAATTGGAAATCTCTAGCAAAAATCTACTGCATTTTTTTAATTTCTCCCGCACAATTTTGTTTAGCATTTTAACGTTTTTAATATATAAATAATTGAGACAGTAATTGATTATTTTTAAATAAATTTTAAATAAAACATGTCTAGTTTGTAAATTTCTTTCTATCCTGTTTTATTTTTATCCAATAATAAATCAACATCATTCATTTCATTCATATTATATCATTTTCAGTGTGTTTGTGTATAACATTATAGGGCTTGGCGCTTAATTATCCCATTTAAATTAAATTAAATAAATAATAAAATAATATTATACTTATTTCAATGATACTGATAATTATTTTATTTATGATAGTTCAATCATATTATTAATAATACAGATGCAACTACAGTTGCGGAAATCGTATACACTTATCATGTAGTTCAACATTCAAAGAGCTATCTATCTTCACAATTCGGGTCTAATCTTTTCCCCATAATATTTAACGACTCCGATATAAGTGCAAACTTTATTTGTGGTAGAACAATGAGCAAGGCTATCACAAATGTTTTAGGACCTGAATCCAAGAGGTCAATTCTAGACGATTTAAAAGGTCGACATCCATATGCAATTTTAACAGATGCACCTAATAAGGGAAATATTAAAACATTTCCTTTGATCCTTCTCTATTTCAACAGGAATAAGGGCATTTTAATAAAACTGTTAAAAAAATTTCTTCGGATAGTGAAAAATCCAACGATATAGCTAACCACATAATGGTAAATATAATACTTCAGGGTTATCAATGAGTTCCATATCAGCTTTCTGCGCTGATAAAGCCTCTATGAATTTTGGCAAAAACCAAAGTATATTTGCCGAATTGAGGCAGCACAGTAATGACTATACCAATTGGTTGCATATGCCATATACTAAATTTCTTGCAAGGCAATGAATGTATTATCTAGGATGTCGAAATAATTGTGAAAAATATTTTAACGAATTTAATTCATCAATTAAAAGAGTTAATGAATTAAAAGAGTTGGTGGAGTGGTCTGACTTGGAATGGTGTGAGTTGTTGCGACATGTCCCTATCAGGTAGTTATCATTAATACCTCCTATCAATAGAATTTAAAATTTTATGAACTTTTAAAAAAATACTTATTAAATTAAGACTATAAAATTTGTCCTAAAATTTTGGAAAAATTTTTTCGAGGAAGAATTGGCAGAAGCATATTTATGAATGGCTTCACGTGTAGGAAATCTATTACATGCTATTAATATTCATTTGCAATCAGAAGAATATCTATTAATGAAGATTCACAAAATTATGCTGCAACTGTGTTCATCTTTACAGTTAGAAATTGATACTAATTAATGTATTTTTAAATGAAGCAAATATTTTTGTTAAGACAATTTTAGAATATTTGCAATCAAAATTTGATTTTAATAACTCTATTTATAAATGAATAAATATTATGAACTTGGAACAGAAACCATCAATTGATGCTATTATTAATTTAATAAATATATTAAAATACCGATAAACATTGATGTCTTGGAGGATTTTGTAATTCTCTTTATTTTTTATGATTCGCCAGAATACTTAAAGTTAGATGGTCTAAAAGCAGAGAATTTGGTGTGGAAAAAATATGATATGTTTTCTCCTGATCTCATTTTAATGCCTCATCGGAGCGCATTTTTAGCCTGATGAGAACTGCCTGGAAAAAGGAAAGAAATCGGATTGCTCTAACAACATTAGAGGCCGAGCTAATGGTTAAATAAAATCATAATATGTCATGCCAGCAATTTTATAATATCTCAATAACGATGGTATACTTTTAGTTCCATTATTTAAATCTCAAATAAAATATAATTAATATTATAATTATTAATTTTCCATTTTTTTTTATATTTTATAAAATCTTATTTATACATTCGCATAAAATAAATATATATAATTTTTACATTATAAAATTAAAATAGTTTGTTTTTATAAAAATTTATATTGTTTTAATATATCAAAATGTTACAAAATAGGTAAAAATAGGTAACGATTTTATTTTGAAAAATAGTTACTTATTTTATTTTGAAAAATAGTTATCGAATTTGTATTTAATAAAGTAATTATAAAAAATAACAAGCGGAAAACTAAGTCAATTCAAAATCCCGGCTGGCCCGCAAAATTTTTTTTTAGCAATTTTTATATTTCTACCGCAATTTTCATCTCTCCCGCAAAATACCAAATTTCTCCCGCAATTTGAAAATTTTGACCTGGCAACACTGCTTATAGGCACAAAATCACGAAACTCGAACAGGTTCACAGGCATCTTGGCGGTTCAGGTTAGAATAGAAAATCATTTTACCGTTCAGATTCAATAAAAATATCGGTTTAAAAGTTCGGTTTAGATCTCCGAATAATCAACATATTACTCATAAAAAATAATATTTAGCATTGAAAAATAATCTAATAAACCCAAAAAATATTAATCATTATAATTAATAATATATTATATTATCAAAAAAAGAAGAATTAAGTGAGTCGTTTATCTGAAATTCAATAGGTATAGCTAGCCTCATTTATTAGAGAGCCAAGGACCGGCTTTAGTTGGTTCGGTGAATGTCCAGTGCTAACCTCTGTTTTAGATATTAAGTTTCTTTTGGTCCCCCAGTTCTAGTTTTTATTAAGTCTTTTTTGGTTCCCCAGTTCTAGCATGTATGAGCCGCTTTTTGAAAAAAAAGGCTAAGTTCCGAAGGTATATAATGTTTATACCATGATAGAATTGTCAATATTTATTGCGCTTTTTACCCTATGCATCTTTTAGGATTTCCCTATTAAGATTAAGGAGAAAGGCTCTATATAGGAGATCTTATGCGGATTTTTTTCCATTTATATCTAGCGTTTGTTGTCAGTGAATATCAATCAAAAGGGTCTCAAAGTAGATGGAATGCCTTAAGCCTTTAAACTTCACTGAGTGATTGTATGAAATGTTAGTTCTGGCTATATAGACAATAAGTGTAGCTTCGAGTCTAAGAGCATCGTATGCTCAGAGAAGTGGTAGGGCTATCCCGCTATTCAATCTTACTCCCAGGGCGAATTTAATTCGAGTCCAAATAAAATAATTTTGGAGGTGTGTTAGTGCCATCATGTACAATCTAGCTCCCAGAATGAAGCTCATGTCACTTTAATTCGAGGTCCAAATAAATTGATTTTTTAAAAATATTAACTGAATGAACTTATAATTTCAAGGCATTATTATATAAAAATGCAGCACGTCTCATAAAAGTTGTTTCACATTTCTTTGTAGCTATGCTTATTTTTGATGATTAAAATAAATTTAACATAGAATTATCGTGTGCCTTTTGCATTTATTGGTGTAGATCAACCCGGGTAAACTTGGAAATCGCCATAAAACAGAGAAGAAGGAGAAGGTCAAGACCGGACTGAAAACAGATAGAAAAAGACTGAACCGATTTTTAAATCCTGCATAATCTTCAGTTACACCTGAAATCAAAATAAATAAATAATCATGAACTATCAAATATTTTATCTTGACTTTAGTTTTTTGTTTTACTTTCACTATTTTTGGATTTTTTAAAATTGAATTTAATAAAAATAAGAGAATTAACCCCAAATTAATTTTAAAAAATGGGTAGGAAGATACCATTTTTTAAACCGCACCATAGTCTGTACCTATGCAAATGAAAAGGGTTTAATGGTCCAGACCAGAAAGATCAAACCAAATATCGTTTTTAAAATCGGTTCGATCGAGTCCAATCCTCATTGGCCTTCGTTAGTATTATTATAGTTTTATTTTAATATCATTATCATATACCTAACTTAATTTGTGTCGAGAGGTTTTGGGATGCTGATATTCAAATGCAGTTTGATTTATTTAACATAGAAAATATAAAAAGAGAATAGAATTGATATGAATAGAAACACATTCCAGGCAATAATAATTAATAACTCTTGAGGATCTTCATAAAAACAAAAGATTAATAGAAGATAAATATTTGAGAACAAATGTTAAATGCATTATATTTTTTTACACTTCTACCAGTATAAAATAAATATTTTTTAAGTATAAATTATAGGGTTGCCAAAAAAATAATTTATTTATATAGCGACTTATATCATTCCGCTTTTTTTAAAAAAAAAATAAGTGGTTTAAATCAATATTTTTAATAAAATTCTAGTCATTAAATTACATCCTAATACTTAATATAAAAGACAAAGACGATTATTCCAGAATTAAATAATTTTTCTAAAAAAAATATTAAATTGCACTAGTAATCATTACTTATTAGAAAAATAATTGTTAATTTATAATTCTAATCTCAATATAGTTATAAATTATTTAATATTCTAAATTAATATTAAACTCAACATTTTAAATTATTTTATTATGTTGTTAATGTAGTGCCAACTGTTTTTCTTTACAATAAAAGAATAAGCAGTTTGCCAAATTAAAAAATTATTTTAATAATAATAGATTAACAATCACAAGCATTATTCATGCCCTTGGCATTGGTGTTTTAATTTAATTGTTTAAAAGAAAACTAGTTTTCCTAAACGATTCCTAATTTTGGAATACACCACAAATTATAAAAATACTCTCTCTACTGAAGTTGTTGATTGTTTTACTATGATTCTATTCTGAATTAATAGTTATGCTAACCATCTTTCAATTTTTTTAACTTAATTATTTTATCTGATAATATAATTTAATTATCGGGTCAGAGGTAGCTTGGAATTTTACCATGATAGATGTGAGATTATTGTTAAGATAACAAACCACGTTCCATTGTCACTTCAGTCTCATTTTTTGTTATTTTTGATTAGGGTTGGAAGATAGGGTAAGAATGTGCCAGTTAAAGTATTAAGTAATGTTGAATTTCAGGATGGTGGGTAACCATATATATATATAATTAAATAATAAACTAATTTAGATATAATTAAATATTTCTTTAATTTTGTCAAATAACTAACATTTTTAAAATGATTAGATTAGTTTGGATTTATGTCATATTTTGTTATAAATTATTTGATTTATCCTTGGGAAAAAGGTTAATTAAATATTTATCATAATATAATTTAAAAACCAAACTCTAGTAGAAAAAGGAGAAAGGAGAGCTCTAAAAATACTTGATTTTTGGGGCATACTAAACAATTTTGACACAAAACTAATAATCAAGATTATTTTAAATTAAGAGTATTAACGAATGAATGATATTACCTTAGCATTTTAAATTGGGCTAATGTATCAGGACACCCAATTGGAAAAAAACAGTAACTAAAATTAAAAAAATAAACCAACCTATTTTATTAGTCAAAAAAAATAGAAAACATCCAAAATAGTATACGTTTTAGAAAATATTGAAAAAATTTCTTTCTGACTAAATGATATAGATTAGTTCGATTTTTTAAACAGTATGTACATTAAAGGTCTGCGAATAGCAAAATTTGTACCTGGCTTAGCCCGTTTCTAATTTTTATAACTAAGGTAGCTTGGCCCGGTTTTTTATATACAAGGCCTAAAACAAATTAATGGACACCAAAATAAACAACTAATTATAATATTGGATAGTAGTTAAATTAAAAACAATGCACTTTACGGAATATTTCTATTAAATATCAGAATTCATAAATAATCCAGCCAAATTGTTGCCAGGTCTAACATGATAGAACCTTTTCAGACATTACCCAGGCCGGCCTGGGGCATTGCAAACATCCGTTTTTTTTATTTGACAAAATATTAAATTAGTTCATGACTTATCAACTATTTTTTTCAGCATGAAACATTAACTTTTTGAAAAGTAATATATATATAATAAGGTAAAAAAAATTTATGATGTATAATATTACCCAATCTAAATCTGTACTATTTTGATTGATATTAGTATTTAATTTAAATATGAAAAATAGTGAATCAAATCCGGTCTTTACTATAGGATTTTGGTCCGGTCTTTGACCTTCACTAATAAATACAAGAGACACACGACCATTCTGCGTTATATTTATTTTAATTGTCAAAACTAAGCATAGCTACAAAGTAATGTGAGACATAACTTATATGAAACGTGTGGCATTTTTATTTATTAATATTTTGAAATTATAAGTTCATTCAGTTAATATTTTTGAAAAATCACAAATTTTACCAACTCTAATCAATAATAGAATGTATTAAATATAAAATTGATCTATATTTTTTGATCAGAAATATAATTTGTTAAGTAAAAAAAATAATTTGACAAGTAAAAAAAAATACTTTTTTAAATAATTAATTTTGGATCAATTATGAAAAATGATTTTTGCCATTATAATTTAATTTTTAAATGTTATTAATTATGATACCTAATAAGAGTAATTAAGGTTATCATCTCTTTTTGGTGACTATTTTCTTTTAATGCCCACCTACTTATCGTGATTACGTAATGGGCGGTGTAGTTGGGTGAGTTAAATTTATTCTTAAAATGGATGAACGGGTAAATTTAAATATTCTTAGAGCGAAATGAACAAGAAATTTATATTTCGCAAATCTATTTTTCGAAAAAAAGTAGTGTACTATGGTAAATTTTAATTTTTAAACAAAACGTACTACTCTAACAACACTGCTGGTGTACTAATATAGGTTTAAGAATATATTGGAATTAAAATTTTAAAAAAGTATAATATACTTTGATTAATTTCTAAGTTGCGTTTGGCTTCGGATAATGCCGAAAATAGGTCTAATTTTAATTTAGTCTCCGCATTTAAACTCGTTTCCAAATGGACATTTTTGTTTTTCATTGCCGAAAGTGCCGTGATCAATATTTCCGTTTCATTTTTTTGATCCTTCATTTGTCTCAATGTCTAAATATGATATAAATAATTAGATTAATTTTTCTTAAAAATCATTTATTACATAATCTCGGTAATAAATCTACATCTTTCGCTTCATCAACTTGCTATTCATTTTTTAAGCCCAAAATAAATAACATAGCAAAAGTAATAGGAAATGAGATAGGCGGCATATTATCAACATTCAATTTAATTAAAGATATACAATTATATTTAGGTATACTTTTTTAAATATCGTCCAATCTCATATAAACGTTTTGCTCAAATAAATAATAACAACCGATTAATTTCCTATAAATATTATGCAAACTTAAATTAAAAATTTCTAAAAATATATTTTTTTTTATAAAATGTTACTAATTTAATTACACTCTATCAACACAGTGCCTTAAAATTTAAGCTTAGAGACTATTAATATTTTTAAAATTAATGCTCAAAAGCAATCCAATACTCAAGCGATCATAATTTATCATTTAAAAAAAAGGTACCTGAACTTCTTTCTCTAATACCCATAGCTGATCATCTCGAATTTTAGCATCTTTGCAAAGTTGGCGAATATCATTTTCCAAATCCTTGCGCCTATTTTTGCAAGATTCGGTACATTCGGTTCGGCTATATTAAAAAAAATTATTATTTTATATCCATTATTTAAAATATTTTTTTAATATCGAATAATGAATGTTAAATATATTGTAAAGTTTAAAATTTTCTATATCAACTCAAAAATCAGTTAAAAACGTTTTTAAAATAAACCTTAATCTAAGATCTACATAGGGTTGGCATGAATTTAAAATCACTATATTTTACGAAACTCACCTTTTAAATAAAGTTACATTTTACTATATTTCATTCTACTATATTTTGCATATGACTTTTAATTAATTACTAAAAATAATTTATATATTTTCTATCAATTCTGATATTATTATTTTTTGATAATTACTATAAAAAATTATTGAAATAATTTTTCAAATTTAAGGAGATTTAAAAAATCTCTATTATTCAATTTGTTCTTTTTAAATATTGATATTCAATATTTTGATAATAAGAAATTTAATTCCTGCAGTTTTTGTAAAAATATTGGTCATAGTTAAATGTTGCAAACAACATTAAAATTATTTTTTAATTATAATTAGTATAAATGGCTCTCGTTATATTTTTCTTCAAGGAAATATATTACAAAAATTTAATTTAAAATATAAAAAAAATAATGATTTTCTTTAACTTTAGATCTACCTATTAAAAAATATAAAGGAGCTATATCTCATTGAAAACGAATATAATTGCAATTATATTCCATACTAAAAAGTCATATCAGTTCTCTTTAATTTACTAAATTTAACTCATCCCAGTAGTACCAATAAATTTAAATGTAGTAATAAATTAATCAAATAGTAATCTATCCAAGTTTGAATAATTCTTAGAAACTCTCATCCTTCCCTCACATAAAGACATCTTCAAACGCTTCTTTTTTAATTACTTTGGGCTAGATACCAAAGATGGCATATGATGATTGGAGTCATCGTACGGACGTTTAGCGTTTAAAAACTTTTTATCGGTAAGCTGAAGTTCCAATTTAGCTCTTAGTTTCTGCTCTTCTATCAATTTTTTTTCAAAATTGGTCAATTGAAGCTTGTCTTGTTGTTTGATGGTAACGAGATTATTTATTCTGTAAAAAGAGAAGGAATAATTTTATAAAGTCATAACTGGACTGCAAAATGACCAGTCTATGTCAGTCCACATTTATAAATTTTTGTAAAAAATAATAATGAAATGAGTTTATCTTAGAAAGAAATTTTAAATTACTAAAAATTTGCTTTAAACATTTGGTTTAATCTAATTTTTGCCCTTGGCATCCCATTAAGGGCAAAATAACAAAGAAAGGTTATAATTTAAATAAAAAATTCAAACACAAATCAAGCATATTACCGGAACCTGTATTCTTTTACTATCGATTATATTCCCCATATATGAGAACTTCCGTTCAAAATTAGCAAAATTTTAAATAAATTAAATTTAAAAAACTACAGATGCCAGATTTTACTCAAATCTTTTGTAATAGATAATTATTTTTAAATTAAAAAAAATTAATTGATTTTTATATTTTTTTCCTTATTTTATATGATTCGTTAATTCCAACCATTTAAAACTAATTTATTAAATCTATATTATTTAAACAATAATATTATCGCTTAGGCAATATTATCAAGGTTATATTAAGACAAGGATTTTCCTAAAATAGATAGCCAAATATTATTTTAACCTGGCCTCTTTTATCGGAATATTTAAATTCTCAAAAAATTATATATGTATTAAAAGACCTGGGCGTATTGAAACCTTCGAAGACTCGGACTTAAAACAAATTTAAATGGCATAAATTTACCTGCTGAAAAATAACATGAAAGATCATTTTAACATTAATTAGCTTCTCATATTATTGATTGGTACCATTTATAAAATACAATTAAAATGATATCGAATTACCAAATTTTAAAAATCTGGTCTGAAATAAAAAATCCTAGTCGGGTTGGGGAAAAAAATTCTATTTCCGTAAAAAAAATAAAAAAATGTGATTATGAACGATAATTTAAAATATATAAATTAATTATAATTTATAAATGATTATAATTGAAAATTTTCAAAAAAATGGTTTAAAACCTATATTATTTTTAAAAAAAATATAACCCGTGGCTAAAAAAAATTTTTAAATCAGAGAGGGCTCAATTTTTTTGTTTGAAATCAGGTTAGGCTAATTTCCCCTTCCCACACCGAACTTGGACATGATTTATTTTCCCTGGACGGTTTAAGAATTTTAGTCGTTTTTATGACTTATTTCTAAATATACAAGTTAAAAAAAAAATTAAGGTACATTCAAGCGTAACTTTTTGTTTTCACTACTAATGTTTAAGATTATTTCTGACTTGATTACCATCAAAAAAATTTTATTCTAGCTTTTTTTAAAAAGAATGCAGACCTGGATTAGGCCTGTCTGGACTTGCCTGAATCCCAGTTTTTAAAAAATTCAAAATCAGAATCAGTACCATATCCTTATTCTTTCTGTCGAATCCAGAACCAAGAAAAAAAATTCCTATTAAAAAAAAAAAAATCATATATCTTAACCGAGGTTAGGACAAAGCAATTAAGGATTTTTTAAATTTATAACAAGAATGGGCTTAACATTCAAATTAGGGCCAGGCTTTGCCTAAAAATAAATTTTAAAAATTGGGCCTCGAAATAAATAAATTGAATTTGCCGGCCTCTAACCCGGCCAAAGACCCGCAATAAACGGATATAAAGCCCTTAAATATAATATAAAATTTATGTGGAAAATCTCCTAAATAATGTATTATCTCCTAGCAAAATCCTGGCTATGCCTCTTAGTATGTATATAGTTTGGCCTTCCCCGTTTAAAAAAAATTCATATTCATTTTTCCTAAATTAAAAATCATATAAAACTATTTTTTCATTCTTAAATCCCCATTTAAAAAATGAAACATGCATAATATCATAATTTATATAATATAAAAATAATTGTTAAACTAGTATATTATAACTTTTAAAGCTAGAAATCTTTAAAAGGTACATTTTAAAAATCATCAAAATAATATCCTATTTAGTAACCCAATAATTTCATTGTATTGTGTTATGTAGTATACAATATTTAAAATTTAAATTAACTTCTTATGAAAGTAAAAATGATAATCGCATCGGATTCATTCATTCTCAGCTATTGAAATCTATTAGTATCCAAATAAAGCTAAGTAATGAGAAAATAAAGAGCTTACTTATTTTGTAGAATTTCATTATCCGATTTGTATTGGCCGAGCTCGTTTTTACAACATTTGTCATTATTTTGCAAAGTTGTGATCTGGTGTCTTAACTCTTGTTCGCATAAACGACTAGCTTGGAGATCATTTTTTAATTTTTTGATATCAATTTCCATCCTAAAAAAATAGTGAATTCGTGGTCGATAAAGTAAATAGAGCAAATCTTTATGCAGGGAAGGTACTTAAAAATCTCAGACAGGCTGACAAGGATCTGAATCGCAACGAATATCAATTCAGATAAAAAATAACAGTTCAAGTTCAGTTCGTAAAATAATATAGGTTCGATTTAAACCCTTATCATAAAAACTGATTAAAATTATGTATAAGATGTGTATTATTTTTAAAATTTTATCACTAAATAAAACCCATATATGTCAATTAATTTCTATTTTATTAACATTGCTCAAGCAAATATACTTAAATTTAATTTATAAACTATAATTAATAAACAGCATATATATAAATAATTAATTAAATTATTTTTAAAAAAAAATATAATTGAGCTGTAAAATTATAAAATTTTCAAGATTCTCTCCAGTCAAATTATATCTGTAAGTATAAAGCATAAATTATATGGTTGGGAACCTTTCTATACGCTAACTCGGGTAACTAGCATCGTTAAATAGAAATAACTAAAAAAATAGAGCCTGATACTAATCAATCAAAATTGATTTATATTAATTTTTAAGGGATATCAAAAGGTTCAACCAGGTTCATGACCTTTATAGAGGTTCGATTCAGGGTGATAAAATTTTTAACGGTTCAGATGTTCGATCTGAATCCTTACAGGTAACCAGTGATTTTTATTTTAAAAAATGCAAGAAAACAAAAAAATATTGATGATTGACGTAGAAAATTGGAATAATCTCAAGAATCGAAATTAAATCTTAGTTAAAAAAAGAGAATCTTTAAGGCTTGCAAAATAATGAATATTGATAGCCTAAAAAAATTGATTTCCTTTCAATTTAACCGTCACTCATCATAATATTATTCAAAATAAGATGGGTAATAATTTTTTAAGAACTTGTATAATCCTGTGAAAGTATTAGAGTAATCCTTCTCTTCCGTCAATATATTGGATTTAGGTTTAGAAGATGTATCGTGAGTAACTTCGTTGTACAGCAACTGTTTACTCGGCTTAATCAAAGAGTTATAGGCGCTTGTATTATTTTTGCTTTCGTCTATTTTTACGGATCGGGTCGCGTATTTCCCCGTTTTATCGCCAGCACTTGTCTTATAAACGCAAGCGTAATCAGTGACTGACCCTGTAAAACCGTTAATTTTGGAGGCAGGAGGTACATTAATTTTTGGCAAGGAATTTTTATTAATAGTATCATTAATAACGTTATTTTTGATATTGCACGAATTATGGGAGGCAATTTCTTTGCCCGAGTTTAAATCGGTGCCGTCCGTATTTTTTGGTTTGCTGATGTTATCGGCAGTAGGCCTCATTTCCATGTATCGGCTTTCGGGACCGGGTTGGTCAGAAATCCCACAAGTATTTCCTTCGAAAAATAAATCACTTTTTTTACTGGTATCAGCAGATGTATTGCTAATAATATTAGTTGGGTTGTTGGTTGCTTTAAGTGTATTACTACTGTTAGTATCAGATTTGCTTCGAAATGTATTAGAGTTATGATTATTGAGGGGGGTTAGATAATGGTTGACGCTATTGGGTACGTTTGTTAGAGAAGACCTTTTCTTATGGTGGTGGTGACCAGTAGGATAAATGTGATTGGAGTGATAGTGAGCCTCTGAATTTGAACGACTATTATTTTCCATTTGCTGCTGTAAAAATTCATCCTCCTCTTCTTCTCCACTTTCTTCTCCTTCGTCGCTTTCCTCCTCTTCTTCGATATTATAATCTTCGTGGGAATGTTTATCGCCCTGAGGTGAGAGCTTACCAGAAGGTGAGTAATAAGGAGAGCGGGCGTTAAAATTGAAGACTGATATGAAAAAGTGCACGAGCTTTGTGATGGAATAGAAGATACGACCTCCCGAACCCGGACTTTCTTCCTCGATTTCGTAAGACGTGTCTACATCGACGTTGGTTTTGCAATGACCGTTACCAATATGACGAATAGATAGATTATTGCAGCTCTCAAAAGGCGTGCTGCCATTAATTATTAAGTCATTCGAAATTATATCACCACCTTTGTATATGTGTCCATTTTGTTTGGGGTGGGCGTTTACATGTGACACGTTATCTGAAATTAATGATAGAAAGGGTTTTGGTTTTGAGTAATAATATAATTAAGACAATAATAATCGTCTTATTTGTTTTCCATGGTAATTTTATACAAAGTGACCAAAACAAAGAAAATACTTTTTTAATTTTATTACTTTTGTGTTTATCGATATTTGAATATGAACGCGAATTTGATTCAACAACATTTTCACCCTTTTGTTGATCATAATCAACCGGTAACGCTTTTTTAAGTAATTCATGATAAAAATTGTTTTCTTTGGCGATGTCTCTCTGTTTTTTCTATGATATACATTTTGTAAATAAATAAAAAATCAACCCATTTTTTAATATCAAATCAATCAGCCCGATCATTCTATTTTTAAGAATATCGTTTATCTTTATATATCGTTAAATTAATCGTCCGATATATCCAAATAGCGGATAAAAATTTTCTAGTCATGAGGAATTTTCTTAAAAATAATATATAATGGAATAGCCAGTTCATTTATTTTATGTGTTCATTTTGATAATTTCTCAACTCAAGGAATGTTCAACTAAAGGAATTTTTTTTAAATGGATAAGATATATTTAATGAAGAAAGGAGTAGGGTTAAAGGTTAAAAAGATAAGGTTTAGGATTAAGTAAAGATTTGAGAGATATGGGTTCGGGTTAAGATATTAAAAATAGCTTTTATTAAATTTAATCATTAATAACTAATCAAATTTTAAAGGTCACTTTGTAATAAATAAGCAAAGAGAAATTTAAATAAATCAGCTGGCTTAACGGCATTTCTGTTTGGACCATATCATTTATTTTATTGGTATGTTATTGGTTTATTTTATCCCATAATTTTAATATCGAAACTCGGATAGAATCAGTCTCTAAAACGCTGCATGGGGTACACCTCTATATATTATAATTACAAATCCTAGCTAAATTGGAAAAAAAACATTAAAGGATATTAATTATAAATTCAATTAAAAATAATCGATTTTTATTATTATATAGCATCCTTAAATATTCATCCAAATTTTTTGTAAAACGATTTTAATTTTTTATTTTTCAAATATCGGCATTTAAAAGAAAATATAACATAGTAACAGATTCAAAGTGGTATAATTACGGTGATGATTTTGGGGTGTAAATCGTTCCTACTACATTTTTTTCATTAATTTGGGAGGTTTAAAAAAATTAAGACATCTTTCTAAAAACATAAAACATGCGTTTACATAATTACTTCTGATGTGTATATAAAATAAGCTAATATACTAATCGAAGTTGAAGAATAGAATATTTCAAGCCAGAAATTTGGTTTATTGAATTTATAATATCTGACATAAGTAATTTTAATACCCCTTGATATAACGGCGATCATATTGGACTCAAGAAAATTTCAAATTAAAAAATATTTTTAAAAAACTCTTTAAAATAGTAATGAAAAAGATTTTCTTCTTTGATCAAAATAAAATAAAAATATCTCTGGGATAATAAAGAAATTAATCATTTTAATGTATTTAACTTCATAAATGTGTCGAATTTATATCTTTTTAATTAAAAAATTTGGTCCCTGTATAAAATAAAAATTATGAGTCCGTTTTATTCTGATAATCGTGAAGGCTATAAACGAGTTTATGTCAACGCAAGAATAAATAAATGTTATATTTTTGATTCTCTCCTGAAAATTAAAACTTTAAGTGGAGAAATCACATTGGATAAAAATTCATCCACTAGATAATAGCTAAATCATAAAGAAGGTAAGACCACCAGACGCCAAGTATGGGATTTATGGGCATTTACTCAGGCGCAAAAAATTGCTATTTTTAGGGGGCCATAATATAAGAAAATATTTTTTCAAAAAATATGATTTCTGCACCAAGAAACTTTCCAAGCCTTAAATTAATAAAAATATCATTAAGGTCGGATATGAAGCAGGGAATATATCGATTGTTTAATAGAGAAGGTATGAGATCAAAAACAATTTGGATATTGATCGCTATATTTATTTATTCTCTAATATCAATGCGTTCAAAATTTTTCTTGAAAAGCTTGAAAATATGACTGAATTTAAAAATAAAATGACTATTCAATCGGATTAAAAAAAATAGAGATTTTTTCCCAAACTTTACCTGAAAAAGCCAAAATCTTTTATAAATAATACATAATAGTTCGAAATATAATCAATTTATTTAAAAGAAATTTGTTCAAAATTTTTCAGACTCTGAAATAACTATAGAGGAATAGCAACAAGGCACAAATATAAGATTTGCCCAACCTTTTAAAAAACACTTGAACAGCCATGGGTTAGACATTTTCTTATGACAATTTTTTCATTTTGCACATATAATATTTGAAAATATGTGATTTATATTTTAGTATAAAAGATGTCATAAGATAAAGACGAAGAGCAATAAAGCATCCAAAGTCGCAAAAACAAGTGCCAATAGAATGTTGCGAAGATGCAGGAATTGAAAAGGTATCAATTCGTTAATGAACTAGAAATTGAGTAAGGAAATAAAAATGAATCATAAAACAAAAAGGATGAAGGAGAGATAGGAGACGAGAAAAATGAATGTGAAAAATTGAAAGTCCTGCTTGTAGGTTCAGAAGGAGTAAGTCAGGGAAGTGTTAAAAGACTACCTTGTGAACTTATAAATGCTGACGATTTTGTACTACTGGCAACAAGTGAAACAGAGTTAAAGGATAAGATAATCATAGGGAGATTCAAATATCGGTAATGGAGTTTCTCTGGGAAAAGTGGGAAGGTTTTGTTATTTGAAAGAGATGCAAAGTTAGGTCCAGCCCGGCCCGAACGGGCTTCGGGCGGGTCGGACCTTAGAATTTTTTTAAATATATCTAAATTTATCAATTTTATATTGAATTTTTTATGTAAAATAAAAATATTTGATTTTATTTATTGAAACTAAACGACATACAACATATGTCTTTTATTTTGAGTAATTATAAAAATTAATTTCCTATTTTAATAAATTCGGGCCGGGCCGATAAATTTTTTTAAAAAAATATCGGGCCGGGCTTGAAAAATTAGGCCCGATGCAGATCACTAATTTGAATGACTTGCTGAATGTGCATGGAAATGTTAATTCCGATGTTGTTGCAAGGGTAGGATATGTATTGAAGTTTTTTTGAGAGAAGTCGTCCTTTCTAATGATATCAACTCTAAAGCTGAAGGTATGTGCCGATCCACATATTTTTCACCAATCCGATCCGATATTTTTACTGATTTTTAATCACCCCCGTTTGAACCAAATGTAATTAAGAAATCAATATTTTTTATGCAAAAAATCGAATTTAATTAAAAATTTTTATTTCTACAATTAAAACTATAATAAAAAAATATATATTTAATAATATATCCATTTTATGCTGGTATGAATTATAAAATTGTAATATTTAATATATAATATATTAGATTTTTTAATAAATATGAGAGCCTCTAGATTTTCTGGGAATAATCTACGATATGGACAATCTATATCTCCTGCTGTACTGAAGGCAGACTCAGATGATTCCGCAGATAACGCACTTTGCAAAATTATCTTTGTCTTTTGTAAAATATTTCCATAATTCAGATACCATATTTTAAAAAATTCTTTTATTTAAAGTATAAATAAAAAATTGGCCTTATTTAAAAAGATTTAAAATAAATAAAACTTTGGGTGTTCCTTTCTATTTTTATAAAAAAAAACTTTTAAAATACTATAAATCTATTTTAAAAAAGAAATAAAATTTAAAAAAATTATTTAGAAAATATTATAATGTAAAAAAATATACATAACATAAAATAAAATAACAAAAAAAAGTAAAGTAAAAAGATCGGATCGTGTCGTGTACCGATCCGATATTTAATATCGGCACAGCCCTAGCTAAAGGAAAAAGTTTATGTAAGCTGTGTGAAAAGCTGTATAGCCTACGGCAACAAAAGTGGGTATTGAAAGTAGTGCACTAAATTGGAAAGAACTGAGATAAGAATTGTCAGATGAGAGAGAAACAAATTGTCGGGAAAAATTAGTATAGAAGCAATTGAAGAGTGGTACTGAGAAGAAATAAACTAAAGGATCAAGACCTTTGGGTGAAGATAATAATGGGCATTGGCATATGCAGCGGAGCCAAAAAATGCAGATGCCGGATTATATTTTTCAAAAATATTATTGTTAATATTAATTTATATTTGTTAATATTTATTCCTATATCATATATATATATATATATTTAATTACATTTATTTATCACATTCATCTACTAAGTTATTTTATCAATTAATTTTGATTTCAAGTTTTCCTTGGCGTAATTTACCTATTATTTTCAAATTTTAGCGGCGTAATATTTATCTAAATTTCTAGTCAAATAATAATTATCTCTGAAACTCCTTGTCCAACAGGGAGAAAGAAATTGCAAGCTTGTCCAACGAGATCGAGTCTCCACCATCAAGCAGTAACAGCTATTATGGAGTTAGAAGAGCCGATTATTAATGCTATTACTGAAATATCACAATGGCTTGATTTCCTCAGAAGCAAGAAAATTATTGGATTCAATACTTATTCAAAATTTTTTTACTCATTAGAATGTATTATTTAATTATACAACTATTATATGTAATACTTTTCAAAAACATAAAATTGACTTGATTAGGAAGATGAGAATAGCGGAGAGCATTTTATTAGAACTCGAGGAAATTAGAGCTAATGTTGATGAAGAATTTCATATTTTATATGTTATTGTTGAATCAAATGCAGAGTTATACGTGTTTAATAGCTATACGTGTTTAATATTTGCCCCCCTCGACTTGCAGCAAGCAAGCTCTCGTCAAAACATTAATATAGGATCAGTAGAAGAGTATTATAAAACAAATGTCCCCTCTCCCAACCTTTTTCATATGGTGATAGAAAAAAAATATAAATATTTGTTAGTTTTTTATCATAAAGATGTTAAAATATCTTATGATGCCTTATTAGCTGAATAACTATGATTAAACGATTAACTATGGTTGATACAGTCCCAAAAAATGATATGGATGCTTTGCATTATTTCAAACACATTTTAGATTATACTCCCAATGTATTAAAATGGTTATATACATTAGCAGCTCTTTAGTAAACTAATGAGAGAACATTCTCTTTTTTAAGAAGAATAACAGAGCCTTACAGATGTACCTTTGCAGGACACGGACTAGATTTTTTTAAAATTTTTCAGGCCGGGGTTTTAAAAATTTTCAGGCCCGGCCCGAATTTTTTAAAATAAATTATACTTATTTTTTATTTTTATAGCTAATAATGGCGATTTCAAATTTGGTTTTAAAATATACAGCTCGGCCCAGATATTTTTTTTGAAAAGGGCTGAAAATTTTCAGGCCCGGTCCGAATTTTTTTAAAATAAATTATATTTATTTTTTATTTTTATAGCTAATAATGGCGATTTCAAATATTTGGTTTTAAAATATACAGCTCGGCCCGGATATTTTTTCTAAAAAATTTTCAGGCCCAGCACGGGTGTTTTTTTTTAAAAAAATTACGGGCCCAGCCGGGTATATTTAAAAAAATTAAAATATTGTCCGGCTCGGGGGCAGGGCCTGCAAGTCTATGAAAAACAAACCTATGAAAAAAAACATCTGAAAGTAGATTGAATGATTTGGATCTTTTGAATATTCAAAGGCATTTAACGCCAAGCAAGAATAGATAATTGAGTAATTAGCTCAAAACATGCAAAATACAATTATTCCTAAGAAACTTTTTGTATATTAATTTATATTTCCAACATTTAAATTTTTTTGGAGGAATCCGGTAAGTGGCCTTGTGGTGTATGTGGGAAAGGAGTTGATAGAAATTCTATCCAATGCACCAGATGCCAGAAATGGGTACATAAAAGATGTAGCAAGGAAAAAGGCAGTTTGATGTTAGAAAGAATGACCTTTATTTGTAGAACATGCATGAAAGGGATACATAATAATGATAACCTAAAAAATGGTGGTCTGGATATTGGCAAACCCTAGAAAAAGTGGATAAGTTTTGTTATTTAGGTGATATGCTAAACGCAGATGGTGGTGTAGATTCTGCCGTTGTTGCAAGGATCAGACAAGCTTGGAAGAAGTTCAGAGAGATGTCGTCTATTCTTACAAATAAAAAAGTTTCTCTGAAGTTAAAAGGGGAAAGTTTACGTAAGCTGTGTGAGGAGTTGTTTAGGTTATGGCGGTGAAACATGGGCAATGAAAGCGACTCACGAAGCCAAATTAGAAAGAACAGAGATGAGGATGGTTAGATGGATGTGTGGGGTATCTCTGAGAGAGAGAAAAACTAGCAAGGAATTGCGAGCAGGATTAGGTATAGAAATGATTGGTATGGTATTGCGACGAAATAGACTAAGATGGTTTGGGCACGTGGAACATATGACAAGAGATGACTGGGTAAAGAGATGCACAATGATAGAAGTAGGAGGATAAAGACCTAGAGGAAGACCCAAGATGACGTGGACAAATGTGATAGCAGTGGATATGAGAAGCATGAATCTTACAAGTATTGATACCTGGAAATCGCCATAAAACGGAGAAGAAGATATATTTTTCAAGCAAAAAAATTCAAATTTCAATTTTGGGTTATTTTAGTGATTCATATCATGGGTTATATTCACTTTATATTTTATAATTCACATTTATTTTATAGTTTTTCAATGCCGGTTTATATATATAATTTTTTTAATTCACATTAGTTTAAAATTGTGTATTAGAAAAGTTATTAGTCCTAATAAATGCTTATTATTTTTAATTAACAATATTTCTTAAAAAATTTTAATACCGCCCCCCCAGACCAAATTCCTGCGTACGCGCCTGATAATGGGTATAATAAAAAATGGGTTTTATAAATAATGACACCTAGGATCATATGGATAATAGGGGTCAGAAAGAAAACTGGCTCACCTGGGTAATGGAATATTGCCAATAAATAATCAATGATGATAAAGAATAAATAGAAATATAGTGACAGCCTATGACTACAAAAAAATATGGGAAAATAGGGCTAGGGAACCGTAAATCTCCAAATAAATTATGATCTGTCTCTAATTTGATAATTCTTGATATGACAGATATATATGCTTTGATAAATGTGAATAAAAATGTAAGGTTATCTATATATTATTTATTATAACAAAGCCTTATATTAATATTTATAAACAATTTATTACATAAGAGTGATATAATATTAAGAAAAATATAATCTCACTTGACGTAATCTATAGCCTATATAACTTTTAAAGCCAAACCCTAGAGTAACCATTGGATATCCAATACTAAAACTAATTTAAAATATATATAGATTATTGAGATATACCAATGAGCTGCAAATGGTCTACATAGGTCTAAATGAAAGGGAACATTTTTCAATTCTCTTAGTCTAACTGAGGCCTCAATATAAACAAATAATAGCCATAAAGATATGGTGGGCAGACATATTCCTCTTTCTATGTAAATAATATTTATAAATTAGATTATTAATTGGTATAATTTTAAATATTACCAGTATGCCAAATGAATTGGACCCACACATAAGTACTTGCTGCAAAAAATAACCAGTGTACAGGTATTGTTAACAAGCATATCATATCAGAAGTTAATGCAATACATATGAAGAAAATTGAAAAGGCCTAAAAACATTTGTAAAAAACAATATTTGTAATTATATCTTACCAAGCCTTGATATTTAAAAGAATCGTATACACTACGAATTAGAAGCCAGAAAGGCCATAGATATTCAAATCTAAACTCTAATATAAAATCGGCTAGCAAGACGACAGCCCAAATTAAGAAAAATTTGATATATATGAATGTGCTAAAATATATGTAGAGTTTATTCTATATCTTTTAAGATTACCTTCCATAAATATTTTCATTAATCTTAGTTCGTCGGCTTGAACGTCTTAATTTTGGATAATCAAAATTTTTCCGTTTCATGAATTAAATTTGTGTTTTATGTAATATGCTCATATCGATAAGAATAATCGATGATAAAATATGATTTGCTAAATTAAAACGATTAGCGCATGCGTAATGAATACCAATAAATTTTTAGGGGTATGACTTTTCTTAGTTGGAACTATAATCTTATTGTATTAAAAATTTATACTACAAAATAAAATATAACATAATATAATATAATTTTAAATAAGAGTTAATAAAAGTTCTGAACAAGCAGTGTACGCAAAATACAGAAAAAATCTATTATTATTGTGAGCTACTGTTCAAATTTATAGCAATAATAATTATACTTCATTTTTTCCAAAAAATAATGCGTTTTGTTGCATATAAGCTTATAAATAGATAAGGGTTAACTCCTGGTGTGATGGTATAACATCTTTGTAGCGTTTTATTTTTTTAAATATTGCCATCACTTCAATGATATATACATAAGCGTAGCCAAGGGCAGGGCACATCATAAAATCCTGGTGACGTCTTGGATGTATATACATTAATAGATTAGCGATTCATTAATTAAAATATACCTATTTTGGAGTCAGCTGTAGCGCCATTTTGTGGTTTACAAGTCGACTAATTTTCGTATTTAAAATTATATGAATGCATATTTATATCATTTAATAGACGTGCATATCACAAAAAGGTTCTGAAAGAGCCCTATATATAAACACTTAAATTGCATTTAGTAAATGAACTGGAAATCTAGTAGTATACATATATATATTTTGCTTTATTTTGAACTCCAGTCATTGGGGTCCAGGATTTTGTCAAGGGAAGGGAGGGCTATTAGATAAATTTTTTCTTCATAAATTTTATTAGAGATCTTTAGGTCAACTTATTGTAGGTCTGTGGCTATATAAGATTTTTACAAAAATAATTTTGGGTTTTCACTTTTTAAAAAATTAAAATCTTTTTTTTAAAGAAATTTTGAATTATAGTCATTATTTCAAAAAGTTATTAACCTTTCCTAATTTTTATTTTATCATTGAGGGAGGAGAGTGGGCGGGAGGGGGGGGGGGTAGGAAGATTTTTATTATCTAAAATGATATTTACGAGAACAGGCAAATTGGCGATAGTTCTTGGTTACGCATATCTCTAGTTTTTGTTAGAAATAGGGGGGGGGGATAATACTTTAATTCAAATAATGTTTTATTAGTAGTGAGACCGATCGGAATCCAAATTCAAATTTTCAGAACTCAGATTGCACACACATTTTATTGTCGGATTTAGACTCTGTATTTAAAATTTATTTCAGGAAGACTAGAACCTAAACAGAATTTTAAATTAATTTGTTTCATTAGATTTTTATGAATATTGTTTTCAAGAATATAATCAAAATTTATTATTATCCTATAACGCTTAAAATTTTCCGCTTCATTCAAATGTTGTACCTTAAATGAATATTTAACAGTCCAAAATAAATTCGGATCAGATGACTTGTCTAATGTTTTTTTTAATCGATAGGATTGTACTCGAATCTTTAAAAGGTTCTCGGATTAAGCCGACGGGAAATTTTTTAATTCTTTTCTTGGATAGAGTCGGATTAAAAAAATAGTTCCGATGCAGAGCTTTATCATATTGCGCATAATTTAATTTTAAGAATGTATTAAATAATCTATATTATAATTTTCCAATGTCCTCACTACGTCATCGTGACGTTATGTTATCGATACGTATTTATTTTTATTTTTTTTTAATTGTTGATTATTTATTTAAAGTTTTCTAAGAATATTCAAAGTTACGAGTTTAATTTACTAGTAGAAAACCTGTCAAAAATGACGGGAAATGAGATTTTTATTCATTTTTTTACGATAGATGTCATGCCAGGTTGAAGCTCACAATATTAGGAAGCATCCAAGATCTTATAATTTAAAAAAAGTTTATCAAGCCCAGCTCAACCTTTAATAATTTGTAAAAGATACTCCCAAGTCAGGTGCAAGCTAATATTAATTTTGAGGTTCCAAGCCCAGTCCTACCCTATCAAATTTGATAAAAGGAGTTCACCCACTGATTGGTAAATCCGAGATTTCCCCTTCATGTGATGATAAATTATTTAGAAATTTAACTATCTCCAGGTTTGGGAAAAAGTTTTGAAAATTAATATGGGTTGGACTGGGCTTGGAAAATATTTCTCAAGATTAGTATTTGCTTGCAACTGACTTGGGAATATCTTTTACAAATTATTATGGGCCGAGCTAGGAAAAAATTTTCAAAATTATTATGGGTTGAGCTCAGCGTCTACATGAGCGGGTCCTATTTTTTGAGGGGGGTAGGGGATAGGCTGCTATGGGGGTAGGATAAATATTTTGGGGGGTTATCTACTAAATTTTGAGATGAAATTGGACAAAATTTATTGCTGTAAAAATTATTACTTTTATTATAGAATTATTATAATACAATTCATCGACCAAATCTATATATTGCAAACAATCATACAATTGTTTTCCAAATAAAACTTTCTGCTATCCTTTTAAATGTAATTTAAAAGGTTTAGATATTTCAGCAAGCTCATAATGGCATAATAATTAATTCATTGTAAATAATGGAGGTTTTAATTGAATTTATTATCTAAAAAATAAATTCTGTATATTCACAAAATATCGATAGTTGGTAAGTATATCGTTTGGATCGTTTGTTAGACCATCTGATTATAATTAGTTGAATTGATTACCGAACATCATGAAACATCGTTGGTTGAACATCATTGTTGAAACGTCGTTAATTGAACATTGCTTGTTGATTTGCTATTTGTATTGATCATCCCATTTCTCTTTCAAAATTTTATATAAATATTTTTTACAAAAATTTTATTTATTTATAATAATCATTTTCTATGTCGTAGGTCATATTCTCGCTTTTGAACTTGACTTTGAATTTTCGAATTTTGAAATTGAACTTGACTTTTCGAATTTTGAATTTTGAACTTGTTCACTTCTTCTACCTCTAAAAATTTTTTTTTCTCCTTTGTAGAATTTTCATTTGATATTTTGTTGTTGTTTAGCCTCAGTCATATCTTTTCATTAATTTTAGCTTGTTATTCTTATCATCAAGTCATTCGCTTGAACATCATCTTCACACTAGCTTGTTCATCTCGTTATTTATTATCATTTTTATCAATGTTTGTAAATATATATTATGATCAATATATCTCAAATAAAATAATTTTGGAATTGAAATGATAATGGAATAAATAATTTATCAGAATCATTCATAATAATAAGAATCAGGGAATATAGAATATTAGAATATTTGGAATTGTTTCATTTTATATTATAATTTTTTTTTTATTTATTATTTAATTATTTTTATTTTTAAATTTTACTCCTTTATTTTTCAATTTAAACACTTTTTTTATATCATAATTTCTCTTCAACTTGTTCTTTATAACAAAATTTCTCTTTCTCCTTCCATTTTCAACATATGATCTCCATATCCTACTCTTAATCTCTCTTTTAGCATCACGATATTTAATCACCTTTGTTTTAATTTTCTTTTCCAAAGTTTTTTTAAGTTTTTTATTAATTATATTTTATTATTTTCTTCAATTTTTATTTCATTATTATTTTTAATAACTATTATTTCTTCAATTGTTATCATATGATCTATTTCTTCTAATTTATAAGAATTTATTTCTTTTTTAACATTTGGTATTAATTTACATAATTCAATTTTATTCAAATTATTATTATTATGATATTTATAATTATAATTTTCATGCTTTTTATTGTAATATGTACCTTCATAATTTTTACTATCTACTTTTCTATTTTCCTCGATTATATTTACAATTTTATTAAGTATGTTCCCAAAAACTTTTATCCACGTCCTTCCCAGAATTACAATTTTGTCATTTTGGACTACAAAAGCATCTAAGTTTTGAGTTTTGTCTTCATATCTCACTTTTATTTTAACGATTCCTAGCACCTCTATTCTTCTCCCATCATAGTTAGTCAGTTTCGTATCCGATTTATTCAAGACTTTGATTCCTATCTTTCTAGCAATATTAATCGGCAATATCGAAAATCGTGACCCGGTATTTATCTGCATGTCTACCGGTATATCGTTAAGGTATATCGTAACTTTGTAATCATCATTTGCCTTGTCATCATCATCCATTCTATTTACGTCAAATCTGTTCTTGTATGACTGATTATTGTTCTGATTATTATTGTATTTTAGTATGTATCTCGATTCGTTCTGATGTCTATAATATCTATAATTATTTTCATTATATTTGTAATTATCATTATTATTATATCTATAGTTATCGTAGTAATTATTTTTATTGTTAAATCTTGTAAAATTATTATACGGTCCTGGCTCATTATACCCCCTATCATTATCATAAACTCTAGGATTATAATTGTTTCTATATCTTGGTTCATAATTATTTGTATGTCTCGAATCTTCATAATTATCGTATCTCGGTTTCCACTGATATCTATTTACGTGCGACTTCATCCCTTTATAGTGCTCATCGTATTTCATCATCCTTAAATTTTTTTACTAAATAATCTTCTAATTAATCTATTAATTTTGTTTTATCAATATTGTCTTATTTTAAATATTTCAACATTAATTTTATTATATTTTTATTCAATTTTATATTTTAATCATCTCTTAAGTGTTTTTAGAATAATATTAAAATCATTCTCCATAATCCTCTTTCGTCTAGCATCACCATGTTTCAGTTCCGCTGCCACCATGATATTTTCTAGCAAGGCAGGTGATTAAAAAGTAAAATATTTATTTTATTTAATTTAACATTTCAAATTTATGAATCTCTATATACAAAATTCTTGTCATTATATACATTTTTTATAATAACGTATTTACATATTAACAAATACATATGTCCTTTACAATTTCATTTTACTTTTTCTTATCTTTAATTACACTGACCTTTTAAACTAAAAAATACAATATTCAATTTTAGACCTTTTAAACAATTATAATATTCAATTTTAATCATATTTAACAGTTATCCTAGATAAATTCTCTGAAAAGAGTATCAATAAATTAAAAAGGTGAAAATAATAATAG